CACGCCAGCCTCGATAATGGTCTTCAAACTACAGAGATTCCCTTCATAGGGGCTGAGCTCACCTTGACCATTCTCTGCCGCCACGAAGCCTGACAAAGAGGCATTGGTCGGCTGCAGATAGCCATCATCAATACCTGGAACAACCATTTTGCTTTCGAATTCAGCACTGAATAGCAGGTTGTCTGAATCCTGGAAGTCCACCACCTCCTCTCGTGTCTGGATGATGATCATATCCGGATCATGCTCCCCATTACTCAGGGTGCTGCCCTCAAGAGGCTGCAGAGCTATAAAAGGAGAGTGGTAGTGGCCACCATGCGCCCAATCGACACCTGCGTCTCCGTACACTTCGATGGTTTGGAATGAGTTGGTTTCCACAGAAACCGCTTCTACATTAAGTAGCTCCAGGTCTACAAATTCAGCAGGAATCTCTGCATTTTCTGTGGTGATACAGAGAAGATTCTCTGAGGCCATGGCTGAGACCCACGAAGCGGGACTGGGTAGCAAACTGGTAGGAGATGGCTGTGGAGTAGAAAAAAAATCAGGGAAGAAAAGCACGCACTTGCGTGCTTAGAAACAACGACAACAATGACAAAACAACAACAGAACAATGACAAACAACAAAATTAAACAAACCCGAGAGCTCGACGAAAACCGTGCGCTTCAGAGAAAAGCTGGCCGTCGTCTGAGGCGTTAAGTGCTGTTTCCGGGCAAACGCGTGCGTTGGACACGTCACTGCACACGTCACTAGACGCGCCACTGAATGCGTCATTGCACTGAGACAGATCATCCAGCAAGCATCTTCTGCGCATGCCTAAAGCTCGTGCAACTTTCTGGTGGCCTGTGGAACCTGCATTGGCTTTCCTGCTGTCCTATCTAATTATTGACTGAAAATAATTTTCCTTTCTAGGTTCTTTACTGGTTTCCTTACTTTATTTCAGTTTATTTTCTTACCTCCCCTCAGCCAGGCTTATATCAGATCTAGGAAAAAAGTCTATTCTATTTTAATTTTACACTTTTTGTGTGCATGTTATACAAGCACCCTACCACTGAGCTATAGACCCTCAGTTCCTTTATAATTATTTATTTCCCCTATCTAACCACAAAACTTACTAATGTACATGCCATCAGGAATAGTTGATTATCTTGTAATTTTATATATATGTTTATACATATAAAATTTATGTATGTGTATGTGTTCATACATACATACACATACATACATATGTGTTTGTGTGTGTGTGTGTGTGTGTGTGTGTGTGTGTGTGTGTGTGTGTGTATTTAGTTAGTTTTTCAAGACAGGGTTTCTGTGTGTGGCCCTGGCTGTCCTGGAACTCACTTTGTAGACCAGGCTGACCTCGAACTCAGAGATCTGCCTGCCTCTACCTCCCAAATCCTGGGATTAAAGCTGTGCACCACCACCACCAGGCTTTGTCCTTTAATATATTTAATAAATACATGAAACATCCAACTACTCCTTTTACTAAGTACGACTTTACTTGTCTTCTTGAAATCTACCACATTTTGTGCTTTACCCCCCACACACACAAATCTACCAGTGCTGTATTTGCTTAACAAAACAAAACCCAGTTTCTGCAAGGCATACACCTCTACTCTCAACTCTCTGAAGCTGGAGGCAAGAACTGGTATTCAGCCTGTACTACACAGTAAGACCATATCTCAAAGAACAAACAAGACCCCCAAACCCTCCACAAAAATCCAACTACAACAATCAAAACAATTGAAAAACTTAGTTTCCTTCTGTATACAATCTGAAAAAGTTTATGCTAAATTTTCTTTTCATTTTTGATACTACTTCTAAAAAATGCACATATATGGAATGAAAATTGTACCTATAAAGCATGTTTGAACTATTATGAAAATATTTGCTGAGTGTTATGCATACCACTTTAACTTTTGAATTATGATAATACTTTGGAAAGTTAACTTTAAAAAATAATCCTAACTGTTTTGTATATCTAAATATTTGTCTCAATATAAACATTACTAGTGATTTAATCTTTACTGTATAAATAAACATCATTTACTATGTATTATAACTGCATTGTGCAATAATATCAAAAGAAAAGGACTACTATGATGACATTCAGGAATTATTTGATGTTTAAAATGTAGTTAATATGATATATTTTTTGACTACTATGGCATACATCATCTCACTTTATAATCTTTTATTAGAAAAATTTATTCAGGATTTTATTATTCTACCTATAAAACTTTAAGGGAAAATCTTTACCAACTTTTCTAATTTCTTCTCTTGTAATTATTAGCCTGTTTAGTTAATTTCAGCTATTTTCACATTCTTGTAATTCTTCCGTTTTCTGAAAACTTTTTTCAGAGATAAACAAAAAACACTAAAATGATAAAATTTTCTGTGTATTAGATATTATTCACCAATCTGAATACAAGTACTGTCAATAGATTTCTCCCTGTAGTTTAATGTTTTATTTATTTTTCTAGAATAGCTCTTGGATTTAACACTCTGACTCTTCTGCAATTCCTTACTTTTGATTATATCATTATTAGTTACCCTTTTATTTCTTTAGTTTATGTGTGTGACTATTTTTCCTTTATGTATGTACATGTACCACATGCATATCTGGTGTCTGTGACGTTTAAAGAGCTCATCAGATTGCCTGGCCCTAGAGTTGGAGATGGTTGTAAACCACCATGTCGGTGCTGGGAACTAAGTCCTAAGCTAGCTAGGTCCCCTGCAGACTAGCAAGTCCTCTTAACTTCTGAGTCATCTGTCTAGGCCCTAGCCTGCTATTTCTTAACTATTTTATACTTGTCTTCATAGCTCTTAAGTTGATTGCCTGACTTATTTCCATTTCTAATTTTTTAAGAACTGTGTATGACACTGAATTTTTCTTTTATTAATGCTTTATACTGTATTCTAGTAAAATCTCATTATTACTATTTTGAACAATTAATCATATCATCAAGTTATTGTGTTTTTTTAATAAATGGATCCAATGTGTGATTAAGACAAACTTCTGTTTTCCTACTATTATTCTTTAGATTAGAGATTTGTGAATATATGGATTTTTTTTGTTTATCAACTTAATGGGCATTTAAAAAGAAATTGTCTCCTGTGTTCATACATACAATCTAACTTACCTATTTTTATAAAACTAATTATGAGATTCCATGGTCGAATTTTTGTACATGAGATGGATATATTATATTTATATTTGTCCTTTTACTCTATTTTGTTTGGTGCTCTGATTTGGTATTTCATAAATATAAATCATGACGATTAGTTCTCATAGTACATTACATTCCTTATGTGACTTATGCAATAATAAAAAAGTGACTTTTTATTATTTGCATAGAATATACTTTCCCATATTTGAGTAACATTCACATATTTTTCTAAACACCACAAACTTGAGATACTTTTTAAATCTAAACTAAGGGCTTTTTTGTAGTGACGGGGATCAAACCCAGGGCCTCATAGATGCTATGTGAGCACCCTACCAGTAAACTATATCTCAGCCTGACATTTTAATAGTAGAGTTTATCTCATTTCTATTTGGAGTAATTTATAATAATAAAGAAAAATAATATATTTTGGTTTTTTAAAAGTTGGCTTATTTTATCATGATATAAGAACTTTTTCCTATTGTCTACTTTCATTTCCTATGATCACTTTAAATGTTTAAATGTATTTTTCAGATCATTTACTGTATATTATTACACACAAATCAGTATTTCTGACTTTATCTCAATTATCTGACTCACACTACTAAGGAAATGAGGGAATTAGTATGCAGACTTACTGCTTTTAATTTGTCTACCTCCAAATTTTCAAAGAAAAATTAATTTTTATGAGTAATTTATTTTATGTGCATGAATATTTTGCCTATGTGACCTATGGAGGTCAGGTCACTGAGCCCTTAAACTGGAATTAAGGATGGCTGTGCAGCACCATGTGGGTGCTGAGACCCAAATCTAGGTCCTCTTTAGGAGTATCAAGTGTATTAACTGCTAAGCCATCTCTCTAGCCCCTAAAGACATTTTTTAAAATATATTTTATTTATGTTGTGCAGCACATGTTATGGCACGAACACAGAATTCAGAGAACAACCTGTGGATGTCGGTTCTCTCCCTCCCACCACATAGGACCTAGAAATCAAACTGAGCTCATTAGGCTTGGCTTGGCAGAAAGTGTCTTTACTCACTGAGCGATGTTGTTAGCCCCCACCTCAATTCTTTATTTTACTGGTTAGTTATATCACAGTGTGTTCAAACATTCTATTTCCATACTTGCTTAGCCTTAGTTATTCCATTTAATGAGATGTAGGAATGCGGTAGATTTGCCTTGGGTTCCTGTAGCTGAGGTGAATTTGTTTTTCCCAGAATTTCTCCCCTACATAATAGTATATCCCCAGGTGAGTCTTTCTGGCTGACTGAACTCTGACAGTGCTAGAGTTCAGCGTCAATCCTTGTATACCATCTTTTCTTCCTTCTTGAATCACGATTTATCATGTGACTGACTTTTCATGTTCTCTCTTGACTTTTGTATATTTCTTTGTAGATTTCATAGTTGTGTTTTAGGTTTTGACTATTCCTTTGCTCCAGTAAACATGAAATTTTCTCCTTTGCTTTTAATTTAAATTTTTACTAATTTATGTTGGTTTTTAAAAAATTGGTTTTAGCCAGGTGGTGGTGGTGCATGCCTTAATTCCCAGCACTCAGGAGGCAGAAGCAGATGGATCTCTGTGAGTTCAAAGCCAGCCAGGTCAACAGAACTAGTTCCAGGACAGCCAAGGCTGTTCAGAACAGTGAAATTGTATCTCAAAAGACAAACAAAACAAAACAAACAAATAAAATTGCTTTTGAGGTAGTAATAAGAAGTTGAATTTATTAACCAAATGTTGTTTTTCACTAGAATACTTTCAATAAAATCACTAACCACAGAAAATCAAAAGCCAAACAACACATAAACATTTAAAAAAACAATGAAAACTATTTGTTACCTGCACAAAATATCCTTAGCTGCTGGACTGGTGATATAAGTTGCAAATGGTTGGTTAACAGATCAACAAATGCTCCAGGATAAATAATGAAGAGAAAAATTCCAAAGCCATTAAATCGAACTTGTTCCCTAAGAAAACATGTAAGAAATCACATAAAAGAGTTTACTGATATTATAGTATTTGTCAAGTTAATAATGATATAATCTTAAAAATTTTTAAAAATAATTCCCTGGATAAATAAAACATAAAATAAAAACTAATAATCATAACTTTAAAATAGTATAATAAAGTTTTGGTCTAGGCTCTAGAGAACTCTGAAATATACATAAAATGCTAAATTTTTAGGATTTTGCTATTGTTGAATATATAATTGAAATTTGATATAAAGATACAGCTAATAATTCTTTTAGAAATCAATGACAGAAATTTATAAATTATTTTCAGAGAAGGACAAGGGGGAATATATAACTCAAATATATGATTCAAACACATTTGTCTTAGTTATTATAAATAATCCTTAAGATTTATGGAAGTATATTTCTGTTGAGCACTTAAAAATAGTTAATGGTAAGATAGCACCTAAAAGAAATAGTTTTTCCACCATTTCATTTCTAAAAAAGTCATATATCTATTTAATAGTCTCACAGAACCAAACAGATACTATGAAGAAAGCACTACCTTACAGTAAATGTACAAGACAACTACATAATTCACTTTTTGTTAGTAATGAGATTTATAAATAATTCATAGTCCATAGTGGCAGACCAGACTATGCAGTCTGCTAGGGCAGAAGTCATCAATGGTCTTACCCAGCTGTAAACCACGTAAGCTATAACAACAACCGGTCTACCAAGATTATTATGTGGATAACCAGCCACTTTTCTGGTTCGATTTAGGTCTGTTCCACAGCAGGGAACTCATGGTTGCTACCACTAAACCTGGCTAAAACTCTGAACATGGAGAGGTATGGTGGTTTAGTAAGAACGGCCACCATAAGCTCATATGTTTGAGTGCTTGGTCACCAGGGAGTAGAAGTTTGAAATAATTAGAAGCAATACAGGGTGTGACCTTGTTGGAAAAGGTGTGACCTTGCTGGAGGAAGTTTGTCACTGGGGAAAGGGCTTAGAGGCTTCGAAAGCCCATGCCAGGCCCTGTCTCTTTCTCTCTGCCTGAAGATCAGAAAGTAAAGCTCTCAGCTACTGCTCCAGCGCCATGTGTGCCTTCAGACTCCCTGCCACTGAGGATAATGAACTAAGCCTCTGAAACTATGAGTAAGCCCTTACTTAAATGCTTTCCTTTATAAGAGTTGCTTCGGTCACGGTCTCTTCACAGCAATAGAACGGTGACTATGGCAGGAGCTCACAGGCGCTAAGGAAGAAGTTACTTTTAGTGTTTTGCTAAATAGACATAGCATCAACCTGCCTTCTAATTAATAATCTTTATATCCATAGATTAGTGCTATTCTCAACCATCATCAGAGATAGTTGCTATTTAATTTTTGCAATGGATGGCAGTTAAATGGAGACTCACAACTGGTCAAAGTACAGAGAATAAGTGACTATGGAGTGCTCACGTGTAGTGGGACATCAGCTATCAGAGATCACATACCCATCCCCTCGAGCCTCAGGGAAACATTGTAGAAGAGGAGGCAGGAAGATTGTAAGACCCAGAGTTTAGGAAGGAATATTGCAAAACACTGTCTTCCAGATGTAATTTGGCCAACACACTCATAAATTCACACCAGCTATGGTCGCCTGCACAAGACCACAAGGTCAAACCAATTAAACAGCACAGCATGGGGGGAGAAGTTCCTGAGGCATTTCCCCTAGCTGAGAAGTTATTGGCAGCTGATGGTTTCTGGGGGATTGCCAATGCTCCAGTGGACGGCACTACAACCATGCACATAACAGGTAGCACTAACTGAACTTAGTGGGTTACTAAGTGGTAGGGAAGAACTTGGGAGGGGGCTGGAGGCTAGGAGTAAGGAATGGATATGAACGAAATATATCATACATGTGAAATTCTCAAAGAATAAATAGAAAAGTATTATATTTTATAAGTTATCCAAGTTGTTTCACAAACATACTGTAAATTATGAAACTCTTAATAACAATAATTCTAGATGTAATACCCTAAAGATTACAAGGTTAAATATATGGAAGAAAAATGAGATTTTAAAAGGTAACCAGGGCTGGTGTGACTGCTCAGTAATAAAGCTGCTTGCTATTAAACCTAACAACCTGAGTTTAATTCTAGGAACCCACCTGTAGGAAGAGAAATGATTCCTGAAATTGTTCTCTAATCTCCACACATATGGCACATGTATACATCCACCTCTACACTCACATACCCATGTCAAAGTTTCTTTAAGGTAACTGCCTCTTTAAACCAGTAGTGTGCACATCTGCTCAAAATGCTGTGTTAAGACGAATGTCTATCATCAGAAGCTAGATTTATTCATAAGCAACTGGAAAATAATAATGATTCATCTTCTCTAGAATAGTGATTTGTCTTTTCCCTGGTCCATATACACAAAAGAGAAAACTTGTCTGTCAGCATGCTTCTGGTTATACCAGGAGTTGCCATGAGCTATCAGGGAAGTAGTGACTACCCTTGCCTTCTTCCCATTTTAATTACTCAGGTGTACATAGAAAGACACATTTGGGTAGTCAAAAACATCAACACAGCATGGTTCTCAAAGTCAGCCCTAGGTCTCATCTTCTGGCTTCCACCTGGGTTTCTAGGTAGGCTTAGATATCGTTGAACCCAGCACTTCTAGATTTTTATTCTAGCGACATGGGGCAGGAATAGAAACAGGAAACTGTTTCAGCCAATAATGTAGAGCCATGCACAGTGGCACATACTTACTTTCCTAACACTTGGGAGACTGAGGCACGAAGACGCTGAGTTTGAGGCCAGACTGGGCTAAAGAGACCTCTCCTTCTGACTATCCCCTCACCCCAGAAAACATTCTGAGTAGTGGCAGAGGGTTGAATTCAGTGAAGACCAGGGTACCAGTTAGCAAGATGGTTCTGTGGGTAAGGGAACTTCCTGCCAATCCTGTGACCTCTTTGAACTCAGGGATCCATACGGCGGAAGGAGAACAGTAACTCCCACAGGTTGTTCTATGACTTCCACTAGCATGCCACAGCATGTACATGCATGCACATACATACACAATAAATAAATATAATTTTTAAATAAAAAGACTAGATGAAAAACCCTGAAGCACCAAGATTATAATCATGCTGGCATAAAGCAAAAGACAGAAAGACTTAAACTACAGATGATCACATGATTGGAAAGACACATCAGCAGAATATTAGTTTTTTCTAGAAAAGAGACACTACCCCAAGTAATGAATGCTAAGTATACATTGAGTGATATCTACCAAAAGAAAAAAAAAACCTCAAACATACCAGATTTGAGGAATAAATCTTCTTAAATGAAAAGCTTCTTTGCATATAGTAGAAAGGAAAAAGTTAAGTCTTATTACCTAATAGCTGCTATACCGTGTCCAATTTCATGTACAACACCACTAATGAGGACTGCAGCGAAGAAGTAAGTCAGCTGATTGACAGGTAAATTTATACCAGGAACCTGTTCACAGACATAACACAGCAATGATTATCAGTGTGGGTACAGCAGAGTCCTGTTTGTAAACCAAGAGGCATGACCTTTACTCTGTCTTACAGCTGAAACCTCCAAACTTAATATTCCTTGACCTAAAAGTATTATGACCATTAATGATCAATTTTTATTTCTACCATAATTAAGGAAAAAAAGCAATGATTTGTTTTGTTTCAACCTAGGCAATGTCTATAAATTAGGCTTACTATCAACTTAAAAAAAAATGGGAAGGACTACATTAAAATGTTACATATATAGATTCCTGAGAGATTCACCATGGGACAGAATAAGGGTGTCCTGGGTGCCAGAGAAAGCGGGTTGATAATGAAGGTGGCAGTGGTTGATCCATCCTTAACTTAATGGTTGGAGGCTCAATTTGGGAACTCTTATTAAAATTCTTAGTCTTAGCCAGAAGAAGTAGTGGACACCTTTAACACGTCAGCACCCAGGAGGCAGTTGGGGGGGGGGATCTCTGAATTCAAGGTCAGCCTGGTCTACAGAGCAAGTTCCAGGACAGCCAGGGTTATACAGAGAGACCCTGTCTCGAAAAAAAAAAAAATCTTAGTCAAAAATCTTATCTTTCAACTGTTCTAACATGTAAAAACCTTGTGCTGAGTCATACAGGACATTCTCACTACAGCAAATCAGTGAGGCTCTTTTCAATACGCACAAGTTACAAGAGGTAAGAAGAAAAGGTAATGGACGCTATTATAGAACGAAGTGCCTGGTCAGTATTGGTGTATCATGCCCTTCATTCCTCTTATCCTTATCAATTTACCTATCAGAAAGATAGAAGCAAAGATGCACAACTTAATGCAATGTAGACTCGTAGACAGATGAAGAAGCGTGAGTTGTTTTATAGTCATGTACTCTAAAAAATGTTTTGCATATAAGTATTAGTGCGTGCATAAGGAAAGCTTTCTAATTATCCAGGCTGAACAGTGAAATTCTCTGATAGCCAAGAGAGTCTAGCAAAAAGGCAAATCATCTATTAGGGAGAGAGCCTGAACATAGGGAACACACACTTCTCACAGTACAAGACTTAGAACCCAAAGGAAATCTCTCCCCAGAAAATCCCTTCCTGCATTTACGAATTATCATTTGAATACTAACTAAAAATGCTTAATACAGGCAAAATGGGGTCTGGAGAGATAGCTCAGTGGTTAAGTGCACTATACTGCTCTTGCAGGGGAGCCAAGTTCAATTCCCAGCACCCATATTGAGGTTAACAGCTGTAACTCCAGGTCCAGGGGATCTGACACGCTGTTCTGGCCTCTATGAGCACCAAGTCCACACATGTGCATACATGCAGACAAAAATAACCTTACACATAAAATACAAATAAATAAATCATTAAAAAGCAAGACAGGCAAACTTAAACAGAAGCCTAAAATCCTGCTCAATTTGCAAATAGAAAACAGAACCATTCTCAATGCTTTTGCTGCATCTTTCTTGTCTCTCCCCTATACATCTACTTTTAAAAATTATACTGTCATTATAATTAATAATTATATAATATAATCTATAATTGTAAATTATACTGTAATTATAATTATAACCATAATTTTGAAACTTGTATTTTCATTTAATATCTCTTCATTAGTATTTTTGAGTTCTATGTTTATTTTCTCTTTTTTTTTTTTTTTTTTGAGCCAGAGTCCTGGCTGGGATTATGTCTGCATTATACCATACCTAACTCAATATGCCCTTTTTGGGGGGCTGCAGAGATGGCTCAGTAGTTAAAAGTACTTGTTATTACAGAGGATCCATACCCGTATCTTGGCTCCCATAATTCATAATCCCAGTTCCAGGTTATGTAGCAGAGATGTATGTAGTGTACATATATGCATTCAGGTAAAACACTGATACATATAACATAAATAAATTTTAAAAATTAGATTTATGTGTATGAGTGTTTTGTTTGCATGTGTAAGTGCGCATATATATATATGCACCACATATGCGTGAGGTGCTCATGAGGTTAGACGAGGGTCATCAGATCCCCTGGAACTGGAGTTATGGATGGTCATGAACCACCATATAGGTTTTGGGAATCGAACCTGGTCCTCATTAGTGCAACAAATGCTTTTAACATCTGAGACACCTCTCGACCTACTACCTTGTTTTTAGAGACAAGATCTCTCTCACCAGAACCTGGAGTTCAATAATTAGGCTAGGCTGCCTGGCCAGAAAGTCCCAAGAATTCTCCTGCTTCTACCTTCTTGCATTGGAATTGTGAGTGTGCACAATTGGGCCTGTTTTGTTTCTTTTCATTTCTGTTTTAGACCAGTATCTCAGTAAGGTTTTTAATAGCTACATTATATTTTGTGGAATGGGCTGTTAGTCATTTAACTATTTTACAAGTTTTTGCTTCTTTGTAAATATTTTTGTGACTTGATTATTCAACTTCAAGTGTGAATTTTTGTGTGTGTACAAGTACACATGCCTCTATATACACATGCAGAAGCCATAGAAGGTGTCTTCCTCTATGTTTCTCCACCTTAACTAATTAATTAATTGCTGCATGCATGTGTGGGGCATATATACATGGTACAGTTTGCCTGTGGAAGCTAGAGGACAACAGGAAGGAACTGGCTCTCTCCTTCTGATATATGGGTTCTCGGATAGCACTAAGGATATCAGGCTTAGTGGCTAGGGCCCTTCCCCTCTGAGCCATCTTGTTGGCCCTCTGTAGGCTATGTTTTCAGACAGGGTCTCTTGCTGAACCCGAAGCTCCACCATTTCAGCTAGGCTAGATGGCTCGCGAGCGAGCTCCAGAGATCAGCCTGTGTTCACCACATCATTATTTAATAAAATTAATTGCAACTGCCTTACAACTGGATCTTATGGAGGCATTTTCTCAGCTGAGGTTCCCTCATACAGATAACTCTAGCTTGTGTCAAGTTGACATGACTAGCCAGCACAGCACACCCCTTGTCAATCTGGCACACATACACATCACTATTCAGCCATAACCCTTCCTTTCTTATTTGTAAAGATCTCACATTAAAATCATAAATAACTTTAAAAGTCCTACAGTCTTTACAAATTCAAATACATTAAAATTTTCGTCTCTTTAAAATACCCAATTTTGCTGGGTGGTAGTGGTGGCACATACCTTTAATCCCAGCACTCAGGAGGCAGAGGCAAGCAGATCCCTGTGAGTCTGAGGCCAGTCTGGTCTACAGAGTGAGTTTCAGAAAGGCTTCAAAGCTACAGAGAAACTGTCTCAAAAAAAAAATCCAATTTCTCTAAAAATCCAAAATCTCTTTTAAAAGTTTAAAGTCTTTCAGCTGTGGGCTCCTGTAAAAATCAAAATGATATATCTTCATCTTCAAGAGTGAAGACCCAGAGCACAGTCACAATCAAATCAAAACCAAACCAAACCTAACTGTGGAAATAACACCAATGTCCAATGTCTGGAATCCACTCAATGATCTATCTTCTGGGTCACTCCAAGGGCTTGGGTCACTTCCTATGCTCTGCCTTCTGAAGCACACATGGCTTATCTTCTAGGCTCTGGTTGGCTCTGCTGCTGCTGCTGCTGCTGCTGCTGCTGCTACTGCTGTCCTTGATGGTTATCCCAATCATACTGCCATCTCTAAAACTTCTGGGGTCTTCTGGTGCAACTGGACTACACTGTCAACATCTCTTCATGACCCCTTCAATCCAGGGCCTTCAACTGCCACTGAGGCTCCACCTTCACCAATGGCCTCTTCTGGCCTCTCACAGTGCCAAGCCCCAACGGCTCTCCATGACCTCTACATGCCTTCAAAACCTGGGTGACCCTTACTCTACCAAGTTCAGCTGCCAGCACAAGGTACAACCTAGGCTGCCTCTGGAACCCAGCTTCTCTGTGCTCTCAGGAAATACTTCCCAGATTTTAGCCTAACAATGCTGGTCTCTTCTTAATCAATGCCAGATTCTCAGCTCCTGTCAACTAGCATCGAGTATCCAAGCACTGCAAAAATTCCACTTTAGGAATTCTGGTATCTTGTTAATCACAACTGATTCTTCAGCCCCAGTTACCACAATGCCACAATGCCAGACTCTTTAATCAAAACAGCAGATGGCCGTGATAGTCTTTAATCTGCCCTCTGAAACTTCACAAGTCAGGCCTCCATTCTCTGCACTGCTCTCAAAATTCTTTTTTCCCCCCTGAGACAGGGTTTCTCTGTGTATCTTTGGCTATTCTGGAACTTTGTAGACCAGGCTGGCCTCGAACTCACAGATCTGCCTGCCTCGGCCTCCCGATGGCTGGGATTAAGGATGTGTGCCACCATGCCTGGCTCTGCTCTCAACTTTCTTCCAAGCTTCCACAGAACAGCCCACTGAGCTCTCAACACTCACTGACTTTTCTGGCCCAAATCCAGAGTCTCGCCACAATCTACCCAAAAAAATGGTCAGGTCTGTCACAGCAATACCCCACAATCCTGACCTTTGTCTTAGGGTTTATATTGCTGCAACAAAACACCATGACCAAAAACAAGTTGGGGAGGAAAGGGTTTATTTGACTTACACTTCCCATATTATTGCCCATCACTGAAGGAAGTCAGGGCAGGAACTCAAACAAGGCAAGAACCTTGAAGCAGGGGTGCTACTTATTTTACAGGCTTGCTCCTTATGGCTTGCTCAGACTGCTTTCTCTTTTTTTCTTTTAAAGATGTACTTATTCAAAATGTATATAGTGATCTGTCTGCAAGTCTGTCTGCAGGCCAGAAGAGGGCACCAGATCTCATTATGGATAGTTGTGAGCCACCATATGGTTGCTGAAAATTGAACTGAGGACCTCTGAAAGAGCAACCAGTGCTCTTACCACTGAGCCATCTCTCCAGACCCTCAGCCTTCTTTCTTAATGAGCCCAGGACCAGCCCAAGAATGGCACCACCCACAACGGGCTGGGCCCTCTCCGTGTTCACTAATTGAATAAAAATGACTTATAGCTGGATCTCATGAAGGTATTTCCTCAACTGAGGCTCCTTGCTCTCTGATGACTGTAGCTTGTGTCAAGTTGACAGAAGATTAGCCTGCATGGATGCATTCATCTTATCAAACTGCTCTCTTAACAAAAACAGACTTAGCTATATCTTTAGGCAAGTGCATTTTATTCAAATCTGCAATCTCAGTAGTCTATTTATGACTCAACTGGCTTTTCCTGATGTAATTCATATATTTGTTGTTTTATTTGAAACAGGGTGACAAGTAACCTGGTAGGGAGACTAGCTTGACCTTGACCTTACAGTGATCCTCCTGCCTCTGCCTTCTGAATATTAGGACTACAGACATACACTATCATGTTCAGCTATATTCTTGTATTCCTCTCTAACTAGTCTGTTAACTACACTTCAAACACTAGTATTGCTCCCTTGTAATTAATGTCAGAAATGTATCATCCACTTTATTGCCATATAATCTTACTTTGCTTTTAGTTTTTGGTATTACAAAAACTTAAGTTATCAAATATATTAATATTCAACATCTCCTAAAACATCATGACTGACTGTAAATGTAAACCATGGGCCCTGGGTGATGATGGTCCGTTAGTTTAGATTTACCAACAGTAACAAGTGGACCACTCTGGTTGGGGCAGCTGTGTTTGTGTGGGAAGTACTTGGGAAATCTCTATATTTCCTCTCAATACTGCTATAAACTTAAACCTGCTCTAAAAATAACATCTTTAGAAATCAAAAATAACTAAGAACAAAGATATACTGTTTACTGTTGTGTAAAAACATCCCACAGTTCTGATGTTAGCTTTATATCTTCCTCATTCCATAGTCACGTGAATTAAGAGCATGATTTTTCCTTTGCTTTCCAGGCCTTTTGTTAGGCTGAGTTTTGCTGCTCTCTCAATTAGACTTTGTTTTGGGCTGCACAGCAGATGCGTAATCAAAGAGGGGTCTGGAGCATGCAGTTCACTCATTTTCGAAATTCCACTGATCCCAAGTGTCTGTTCTTTGAATATGAAATCCATTTTCATAATCAACATTATGAATGTGTGTGTGCTATCTTATTATCTCCAATTCTCTTTACTCAGACCTTACTGAACAACTTTTTTAAAAAATAGTAGTTGCTTTCTTTTTTTAATTATTTATTTATTCTTATTTAATGTATAATGGTATTTTGTTTTGCCTGTGGAAGGGTGCCATGTAGGTGCTGGGAATTGAACCTGGGTCCTCTGGAAGAGTAGCCAGTTCTCTTAACCACTCAGCCATCTCTCCAGCTCCCGAACAACTTTTTTCTTTCACAAATATCAGTGTCCCTTGTGCTCCACAATTTATCCACTCCCAAGCTGGGTAAGTCATCTGTTCAGGTTAGTAGCATTCCTGTTTCTGATACCTCTTTAAACGTACTGCCTTAAGATTAGCTCTCATTCATACTATCTAGCTCACAAAATAACCGACCCCAAAGCACAGCTTGCCTTTATTTCAAATAACTCAATTCATTTAATGCAACCAGCTCTCTGTCCCTTCTCTTCTGGATACACTAATAAGTAAGACGAGGTAAGAGTCTGAGTTTGTGACTGACAATAGCGACAGATGGCAGGTCTTATTGGCTGGCAACAGTACAAGATGGCCATCTGTCTCTGATATGATTGCACAGAGTATTAGATGTACCAGAACACTGAATGCAGAACACTCTTTCAACAGCACACAGTGCCAGGGTTGTGGGAATTAATACTGAACAGGCTGCAGGGAATTAGAGGGGAAGCCAGAAGTATGTTCCTTAAGCTCCAAGGGCTAATTCAAAGATGAGACAAGGCACTTTCAAAATTATACACAAATATGTTTGGTAGACTACTGGGCTTCTGGCTTTTTAATGGTTCCAAAGCATAGCACACCTGGTATTTTTATAAATGCTGAATAAACTGGGAAGCAAAGAGAATAATTTCCTCTCTACATGACAACTGCCATTGGAATTCCAAACAGGCCAATGATGAGGATTTCTCTAAACGGACTTCTTCAGATTTTCTCTAAATGGGCTTCCTACCCTCTTCAATCATGAACACTAACTACTTGTATAACCAAAAGTCATCCTTAAACTGTCCCCATAACCTCCAGCGTCACATTAAGTTAATTACTGCTGAGAATTGTAATGAAAAGCCATCACTGGTATTCTGTATTTCTCCCCTTTAGAAACTGTTTGAGAATCCGATACATACAATGTGTTTTGAGCAAATTCACCCTCCATTCTCAATCCTCCTACTCCTTCCGTATCCCACCACTTTTCCCTCCCAACTTCGTCTGTTCTTTTTTTAACCCACTGAATGCTCTTAGTGTTGCCACTATGTTCATGGGTGTAGGACCATTTTCTGTTGGGTAGCCTCTCAGGGGCTTTTATTCTCTTTGCAACAAACTTAGCTTATATCTTTATTATTTCTAGCATGAATCATTCCATCTGTACTCATAAGTGGTCTCCCCATCTTTGATCTAACTGTGGTGCGTTTTGCACAGAACGCTAGGTAAGCGAGAAATTTTCTAGAAAGGTCTTTCACAGTCTAGGTACTACCTATATCACCCATCTTATCTTTTACTTTTCATACTGTTTTCTTATAATACTTTTAATTATTAGGTAAGTAATATAATGCTTACCTAAACTTTTACCACAGTACTCATAAGGGCAGGTCAAAATTATGCATACTTCTTTGAATGAATGAACCAACCTATCTCCTCACCCGCCTCCCTCCTTTCCTCCTTTTCTCTCTTTTTTCCCTTCCCTTCACCCTTAAATGACACCCAGGGCCCAATGCATGCCAGACAAGTGATCTATAACAAAGTTATGCCCCCCAACACTTTCTTTTACTTTTACATAGGAGAGGTTCATTAACAAGAGACATGATTAAATACAATATTTATAACTCATGGACTAGAAACTACAAGTATAAAAATCTAATTTAGAAATACTTAAATAAAAGTTGAAAACATATGAAGCAAAAGTGAGCCAGTGTCAAGCACTGTTGCAAACTGAAGGTGGCAAAAGGTAAGAGATAAGTGCAGGAGTGACAGCTCAGGAGTAGAGCGCTTGGTGGCCAAACATGGCGCTGTACTTTCAAACCACCAGAAGCCTACACATGTGCTTTAAAATAAGAATTACTATAATAGCTTACAAGCAAAGCAGTAAACCCTAGCACATATTTTTTAATATTAAGAAATCACAAGATGGAGACTGGAGAGCTGGATCAGCAGTTAAGAGCATTTACTGCTTTTGCAGAGGACCCAGATTTGGCTTCCAGCATCTACACAGTGGCTCACAACTGTCTATAAGTACAGTTCCAGGGAATTCAATGCCACCTTTTGGCCTCTGGATATCAGGCATGCATATAGTATACATACATGTAGGTAAAACACTCAAACACAAAAAATAAAATAAATAAATTCTAAAAAAAAAAAATCACAGAGTTCCATTCAGATGGGTGAGTGTATGCCATCCCCGGGGCAGACTGTCTGGGAAGGGAACACAGGGCCTCCTCAACTCCTGCTGCAGGGGCTTCTTTGTTACACACAACCCTGCCTCCCCCAAGCCTGCCCTATTGTCTGCAAGGTCCTTGGCCCAGGAACAGTTCCTGCTCCTGCAGTAAGGCTATTCACCCAGAGGGTTGAGTGTCTGCCCATCCAGCAGGCTGGAAGGTCCCTGCAAGGGAGTGCAGGGCACTTTCAGCTTCTGCTGCAGGGGCTTCTTTGTTCCACACAACCCTGCCCTCCCCCCAAGTTTGCCCTATTGTCTGCGGGGTCCTTGGACTACCAGGAGTCCCTGTTTCTGTGCTGAGGAGTTCCATCCAGACGGGACCTTCATCTGGCGATGGATGGAGATAGAGACAGAGACCCACAATGGAGCACTGAGCTCCCAAGGCCCAGATGAAGAGCAGAAGGAGGGAGAACATGAGCAAGGAAGTCAGGACTGCGAGGGGTGCGTCCGCCCACAGAGACTATGGGACTGATCTAATGGGAGCTCACCAAGGCCAGCTGGACTGGGACTGATGGAGCATGTGATCAAACCGGACTCTCTGAATATGGCTGACAATGAGGGCTGACTGAGATGCCATTGATAGAGGCACTGAGTCTTGTTTCTACTGCATGGACTGGCTTTGTGGGAGCCTAGAATGTTTGGATGCTCACCTTTCTAGACCTGGATGGAGGGGAGAGGGCCTTGGACTTCCCACAGGGCAGGGTACCCTGACTTCTCTCAGGACTGGAGAAGGAGGGGGAGGGGGAGTGGGGGAAGTGGGAGGGCAATGGGACGATGGGAGGAGGTAGAAATTTTTAAAAAAAAAAAAATCACAACATACGTGTAATGATTCTTATCTGAAATCTCAATACTTGGAGGCAACTTTGAGGGCAACTTGAGCTATATAACAAATACTAGGCTAGTCCAACTAACAGAAAGTAGTTTCAAAGAAATGACAGTGGCCAAAAATGTCTTATGTCTTTTACCCTAACTCTAGTCTTATACTTTTATTAAAAGGAGATTATTGGTTAAATTTTGAAAACCATGAAAAGGACAGCGAGTGCTGCACAACATTAAGATTTAGCTTACTTTCATGTTCTAGAGATCTCAAGTCAGAATGCCTACTCCTTGCGATAAATAACCATTTTACATCTCAAGTAGACAACCTGAGTTAAGGGGAACCTGTAATGGCTGTCTGTCTTATTAGTGGTCAATATATTCTCTTTACAGGTATTGCTACTGCCATCAAATATTGTGACAATTTCTGCTAATCTTGTACTAATGGTTTTTGGTTAAGTGTGTAATTTGAAAAATTATGAGGTGTTTTACTTTAATGTTTATGTTATGCATTGTAGGTATACTAGCCAGAAAAATATATCTATGTTTTCAGCAATTTAAAGCAAAAAAGAGTACACTTACCACAACTTGCAACACCTGTTCATTGTGAAGAGAGGAGGAAGAGAAAGAGGAAGAAGAGGAAGAGGAAGAGGAGGAAGAGGAAGAAGAAGGAGAGTCAGCCATCATCTGTGCCAAAGTCTGCATCAGTGTTTTTCCAAGGAGAAAAAATGAGCTGAACATGGCAATTACACCAAACACCATTCCAAAATTGAACCTGGCAACACGGACAAAAACAAACATGTAAGCGTACAATTCTTCACAATGCATATATTAACAAAACAACTAACTGGCCACGTTTCATTACTTTTAAACAACGGGTGAAATTACCAAAAGCTGCCCTTGTTTATGCTATCTAAACTATCTGACTGATTCATAGGCAGTTTGAACAAACTAAAACACTCCGACACCCAAAAGGCTGAATATTATTGCTAGTTTAAAAAGGGGGCTAGAGGGTTTGCTCTCCATTTGCTCATTTATATAGCACTGTTTGCTTGTGTTTAATATAGTTATTAGGAATGCTCGTAAGATTGGGGCACGCATTCAATTTTCACCCATTCTATTGTCTTCATCTTATTTTAGCTTCACTTTGTGATAAACTAGTTTAAATAACAATGGAGATTCAAATCTAATACTTTTATTATTCTGTTATTTTAATAATTAAAACTACTCTTTTACACTTGGAACTAATCTGTTCACTTTCATATGTTCTGTTGTGAAATTGAAGGTTGTAGAATTGTTTGTAATATTGTTTTTATTGTTCATAGAATTTGAAGTATTATCTTATTTTTAATTATGATTTTTATTTACTGTTTTTTCTTAATGAATCATAGCCTAGGCTTAATCAGTTTTTATTACTGTATACTTTTTTATTATCTAATTGTTTACATTAGTTTGAACATACTTGGAACTTACATTTGTTATTTGTGAGATGAGAGAGAGAGAGAGAGAGAGAGAGAGAGAGAGAGAGAGAGAGAGAGAGAGAGAGAAGGTCTCAGTAACTAACAGACTGGCCTGGAACTTGCTATGTTGTCCAGATTTCCCTTATACTCTCAATTCTCCTGCCTCGGTATTCTGAGTGCTGGGATTCCTACTCAAAGCTTTATTTTTGAACAAAAAGTAATTTAGAGGACACTATTCAAGAACCCCATATTCTCTGAACTAAGAACCTGTTATGAGGAGCTGTGGCATGGCTAGAGGTTAAGAGCATTGGCTGCTCTTGCAGAAGACCCAGGTCCTAGTCTCTAGGACCACATGATGGCTCATAACTGTCTGCCACTCCAGTTCTGGGGGATCTCATAGCTGCCTGGTTCCTGGGGGTGCTGCATGCAGTGGTATACACATTCAGCACACATACAAAGTAAAAGTAAATAAATCTTAAAAAAGAAATTGTTAGGACATTAAGTATTCCAAAGACCATGTAAAATACAAAACCATAAATTTCCCTAAGTGCCTTATTTACTTACTTATGTATATATTTATTTTATTTTTACTTTATATGCATCCTCTGGAAGAACAGCAAATGTTCTTAATGGTTTAACCACCTCTCCAGTTTCTCTTATTTATTTTTGTTTATTTGCTTGTTTGAGACAGTGTTCTTATGTAGCTCAGACTGGCCTCAAACTTGAAATCTAACTTAGGATGGCCTCAAACTTGTGATCCTTCTGGAATAACAGCTATGCACCACTATGGTCAGGTATCATGATTTTTAATGTATTGAAAAGCACAATGATACAATTGTTTTTTTTTATATATATATATGCTATGTTTGATGATCACAATTTAATTAAATGACTAATTTAACCCACAAAATTAAAGATGAAAAGTACCATTGGTAAAGCATCCTTGCTTTCCGTCGTCCCCAGCTGTAAAAGGCACGATTAAAAACTGAAGTTTGCCATCTTATATGAAAAGGAGAGATGCTCAATCCATTGGTTTTCAGCCAGTCTTCATAAGAATGTTTAAAATACACAGATGACTAAGAGAAAGAAAAGTTCAGCATCACTCAAATTTGAAGAACAGATTTATAACATAAGTAAAGAACTAAATAAAGGTTAAAACAAAGAAAATAAGTACTTTGTATACAAAACCAAGATGTTAGTGGCTCAACAACAGTGATTGTCAACCTTCCTAATGCCAAGAACCTTTAACACAGCTCCTCGTGTTGTGATGACCCCCGACTTTAAAATTATTTTTGTTGCTACTTCATAACTGTAATTTTGCTACTGTTACGAATCGTAATATAAATATCGTATTTTCTGATGGTCTTAGGTGACCTGAGGAGATGGCCATTTGATTCCCCCCAAAGGGGTCTCAACCCATAGGTTGAGAAACCACGGGTTGATAATATTTTTTGAGATAGTTTCACAAAACTCAGGCTGGCCTCATTTCCATGTAGCCAAGAACGACCTGGAATTTCTGATCCTCTTGACTCCACCTCTCAAATGCTGAGATTACAGGCATTTGACAACATGTCTGGTTTAAGTAGTGCTGAGAGCAAACCTAGGAATTCATGCATGCTAGGCAAGCACTCCACAAACTGACCTACAATTCCAGCCTAAAATGTTTATAATCTTAAAGCCTTACATTTACCCTTCAAAGTATCAAAGGTCCAGATTAACTGGGTAGCTGGGTTAGGGTCCAGGGAAATACAGTCCAAAAGCGAAATCTGGTTTATAGCCTACAATATAAGAACGATTTTTAAATTTTAAGGGATCATTTCTTTAAAAAAAAAACAACAACAACAACAAACAAACAAACAACTGCTGGGGATGTGGTTCTGTTAGTTACTTGTCTAGGTACTATGGATGATAAAGGGCAGTTTTAAGAAGGGTTTAATTTGACTCACAGCTCCAGAGTAGAGCCCATCACGGAGCAGAAGCTCCGGTGACTGGAGCTTGAGGGGGTTGGTGGAGGCAGCTAGTCACATTACATTCACAGTCGGGAGGAAGATGAGGGCTTGGCTTAGGTGCTTTCTCCTTTTTTGTCCAGTCCAGGACCCGACCCCACCCCACGGCAATAGTACTTCCTACTTTTAGGGTTGACTTTTTTCCCTCAATTATCCTAATCAAGAAAATCCCTTGCAGCCCCATTCATGGAATTGTTTCTGTGGTAACTCTAAACCCCACTAAATTAACCATCAAAAGTGGCCAGCACAGTGAGGTGCCTGTAATCCCACCACTTCCCTTTAGAAGGAAAGGCAGAAATATCTCTGCAAGTTCACAGCCAGCATAGTTGACGTCGTGAGTTCCAGGCCAGCCACATGCACACAGAAGAATGCTGTCTCAACCCTATCTCCTCCAAATAGACAACAAAACCCAAGAATATTTAACAGAGATTCCATGAACCATAAAGCTTAAGATACTTACAAATTCAGCCCTTTAAAAATCCCAACCTTGCCAGGCAGTGATGGCACACTTTAATCCTGGCACTGTGGAGGCAGAGGCAAGTGTATCTCTATGAGTTCAAGGCCAGCCTGGTCTACAGATCGAGTTCCAGGACAGCTAAAGAGAAATCCTGTCTCGGGGTGGGAGTGGGGGTCAAACTTGACCCCTGCTTAGAACAATGAAGTACATAGAAATATGAGAGTAAAAAATGCAAGCCACATATAATTTTAGATGGTCTACTAGCTAGATTTTAAGATGGGGAGATTCATTTTCATGTATTTGTAATCTATAACAGCCAAGCTATCATTTTAATGTGTAATCATTTTAAGAACACTGAGACACTTGTTTCTAGTATTTTTTGAAATGTGGCATCAAAATTATACTAATAGCACATCTCCATTCAGAAAAGCTTTTTCAAACGCTAGGTAGCCACATACAGCTAATAACTACCACAGTGGACAGCACAGGTTATTTTACCTCCACACAAAGGAAAGAAGTCTTTCGAGATCATTTTTAGACTTCCAGGGGATTCAACAGAAGAGTTAGCTTAGTGTGAATCAGTATTTCCTATTTTCATCTAAGCAAGCCTCAAGTTAAACCACTTTTGGCCAAATGAAAGTACAAAATTCACCCACTGTCCTCTCGACCTCCACAGCAGCTCTTAAATTTCCCCAGGGGTTACAGTGCTACCTGCTTACAAACAGTCTCAAGGGTCTTATCTTTTCAAAAGCTTGACTAAGGTAGATCTATAAATACCAAGGCAGTTACAGAAAGCCCCGGAAGTACTGTCATCTGTATGCAAAATGCATTTGTCCTACAAGACTATGCCAGCTCTTTTCCCATCATAAAGATTGACCTGAGTCTGAACGCCAGTATCTGTAATTGTCTCTACTGTCTTCTGACGCCATTTTAAGTCTGCTTGTTCCCCAGGACATGACAAGGAGATTGGCACACCTGTGCAGCAGCAGTCTCCTGTGGAAAGCTAGAAAAGTCAAAGGCAGAACAGAAGACCAAGAGAAGGTGAATGCTCTTAAAAAAAGGCAAGGTCTCGGACACTGGGAAGATGGCTTAGCCCATAAAGCAGTGGCTGCTCTTCCAGGGGACCCAGATTCAAATGCCAGTACCCACATGGTGGCTAAGAACCAGTTCCAGGGGACCTTACCATCTCTTCTCGCCACCAAGGGCAATGAATGCATGCAGTGTACATACAAGCAGACAAAACAGTCATATTCACCTTTTTTAAAGGTAAGGTCTCTCCATTCCCCAGACCCTGCCCAGTGTACCATTGCTCACTGGTTGACACTTTCATGAAGCTAGAGGATGCCCCAGAAATTAAAGCCACATCCTCATCACCCACTTACTTGTCCGGGGACAGACTGCACAAGTCTGATGAGTTCCTTTTATTTAGGAATTCTTTCCACATATGAAGCAAGAAGAAAGCACATGGCTTTTTTTTTTTTTAAACCTAATCAGCAAATTACTGCGACCTCTGCTGCTAAGCAGTCTGCCCAATCCACTGCATCAGTGGTGCCCAAACAAATGTGCAGGGGGATCTTGGTACGCTGCAGATTCCGACTGTACAGGGCTGTGGTGAGACCTGAGAGGCTGGCACTCTAACAAATGCCAGATCATTCAAGTGTTACTGGTCGTTGGCCCTCAGATTTATATAGTATATTATGGAGATCCATTAATATAATCCTCTCCATAATTTCAGGTGACCCTTCCTGTTGCTGTTTAAAGACAAGAAATGGAGGCATAGGTAGTAATTTGCCCAAGGTCACAAGGTTAGGAATTGACAGAGCCTAGCCCTCCTGAAGACTAAACTTCATAGATCTGGCTTTAAAGTTTAAGTAAGACAAAGAAGCAGAGGGACCATTTCATTTTACTGTTATCAAAGACACAATGCCATGAGGCATTTGTTTAAAAGAACACATGAAGGTTTTACTAGACCTGATTGTTAATTTTTAAACTCTTGGGAATTTCTACGCTTGTGTTCTCCACACCCATTCCATGCTAAGGGTGTGAAAAGCATGTGCTCAGACAACTGGTGGAATTTCTTCTTACCATTCCAACACCCACAACTTTCAAAAAACACATTGTACGCCCAGGGTGTGTAGTAGCAAATGTGGCTATCTAAATTCTTGATACTTAAGCATGCTACTTTAAAGCATGATCTGTGTGTCAGCACCGTCTTCAGGACAGAGGAACTGGTTGGAAATACAGAATCTCTGCTTTCCTTCCAGACCTGCTGAATCAGAATCTAAATTTTAACAGGAACCTCGGGTGCTCGTGTGCATTTTCGAGTTAGACACCGGTGATTTAAATCACGATTTGATTTCGATTCATCCCAATACCAGCAGGGGCTCAAGGGTCGTAACCTTAGCACAAAGAAGGAAAACAATGTCATTTCCTAAACGGATGTTTTAATTTCTTTCCTCCTTCGAGTCCTGCCTCCCAAGTCCGTACCACAGGCTCCTCCCGGGAAGAAGCCAAAAGCTGCAGGGACCGGGCGCCCGCAAAGCGGCTGCGGCCGTCACACCCCTCCCGCAGCATGCCCCGCTTTATTTACTCCGCCGGACGGATGCACCACGCGGAAGGGTGCACGTAGCCACCACCGGCAAAGCGGGTTCCAGCTCCCCCCGCCCCCCGGAGGAAACTTGGCAAAGGAGGAGGAAAGGCCTCGGGCAACACAGGGCCATGCGCACCAGCCTTGGACTCCGCCGGCTAAGGCCTTAGGCCCGTGGCCCTCACCTTCAACACCAAATCGGCCAGGTAGACGGCGGTCCAACCACCCACCACCACCACCAGCAGCGACACCGGAATCATGGTAGCAGTGGATGGACGGTGGGCCCCGGCGTCCTCCTCCTGCGATCCACAACCAGTCGACCGCCCGGCGCCTTACAGCCCCAGCATCCGCGCAGGAACCAAGTTGCTACCGGGTCCCTTGCTTCAGTGGCAACGTTTCCCTCCGGACCCTTCCGGTGAGGACACTCAGCCGGTTTGGTGCGTGCCGGAAAAAGCTCGAGTTTCTTTTCCTGGGACGCTCCGGCTCAGTAGTTTTCGGCTGCTAGAGTTCTTTAGGCTTGGCCCTCCCTGCTGTCTGCTTTCCCTTCGCACTAATTTTAATCTCCGGTTTGTTGTGCTTTTTGTTTGAGGTTATCAAAAATAATGATACATCCCCACATTCAAATCAACCACGTCTCTTTGTAACCGGTCTGTTTACAGCCACATCGTAATGGAGATCTCAGTTGTTCGTGTCGGTGTTTTGATAAGTGTAACTGTCTGTCTGTGTACCATAATCCAAAAGGTAGCATTATTATCCCTGGAATTTCCCCCTAGCTTCCCTTCCCTGTCATCTTTGTCCCCTGTCCCGTTCTAATTATTTTTAATATTTAATTTTGCATAAATAGTATCGCACTGTTTAAATAGGGATTATTTCACGCGACATTTTAATTACTACTTTTGTTTGTCTTTTAGTTTGGTTGGTTGGTTTTGGTTTTTCGAGACGGTTTCTCTGTAGCTTTGGAGCCTGACCTGGAACTCACTTGGTAGACCAGGTTGGCCTTGAATGCATGGAGATCCGCCTGTCTCTGCCTCCCGAGTGCTGGGATTGAAGGTGTGGGCCACCACTGCCCAGCTGAAACCCTGTCTTAAAAACAAAAACAGCCGGGCTAGGACAGCCAGCGCTGTTAGACAGAGAAACCCTTTCTTGGGGAGAAAAAAAAAAAAGCCAGGGTCTCACTATGCATACCAGACTGGCCTTGAGCTCTCAGAGATCCACCTGCACCAAATACCTGACTGTTGATTAATTTTTAAAAAACTTTTCATTAAAAAACTTGAGGTTGGCGCTACTATTCCATACTGGATGGAGCTTTAGGGCTGGCAAAATTACTCATCAGGTAAAGGCACTTGCTGCCAAACCTACCTGCCTGAGTTCAATCCCAGGGAGTGACTTGACCTGAGAGAACCAGCCCTTGCAGATGGTCCTTTGATCTACTCAGGAACAGGCTGTCAGTGAAGTAGAGTGTATGTAGTTCCCAGCTTTGGTTGCACGTTAGCTTCACCAGGGGCCTTTAAAATTCCTGATGCTTAATGTATAGCCTGAAGCAATTCAATCAAAGGCTCCGTGAAACAGACCCAAGCCTGTATCCTTTACAACTCAATCATGTCACTGTGTAGCCCGAGTATAGAGCCACCAAACTAGATAATCTCCTGAGGTAAGGACCTCAGGGTTTTGAGCATGTGGGGAATGTACTGTAACTAACCCTGAGCTACCCCCTCTAGCTGCATTTTCTCTTTTTTAAAACGAAGTGTCTGTATCCCAAACTGACCTCAGATCCCTAGACAGCAAAAGAAACTTCTGGTTCTCTTTATCTCCACTTTCTGAGTGCTAGATACTGCTGGGTGCTGGGATGAGTAGAAATGTGAGACAAAGTTACATATTCTTTCTTGGGACTTCAGCTCGAGAGCAGAAAGAAGGGAGCTAACTGGACAGAGGCTATCAGGCTGCTTTAGCTGAACAAAAGGAACAGCATGCTTTTACTGATTCTTTTCGGGGAGAGTGGGGTGATTTGGCAATTGTCTGGCTATCATGGAAAGATCCACCTGTCTCTAGGGGTACACTACCACTGCCCAGTTATACTTTAAATTTTTAACTTTATAACAGTAAATTTTTATTTTTTTAATTATGATTTATTTATCTTTATTTTATGTGCATTGGTGTGAAGGTGTCAGATCCCCCTGGAACTGGATTTTCAGACAGTTGTGAGCTGCCATGTGGGTGCTGAGAATTGAACCCAGGTCCTCTGGAAGAGCAGTCAGTGCTCTAACCTCTGAGCCATTTCTCCAGCCCAACAGTAAATTTTAAATGGTCTTGGATTTTCTAATCTTTTAATCCCTCTAACAAAAAATGACAGACATTGGCTGAAACAATAAGCTGTATAAATATATTTACTGCTCAAAATTTCACAAAACTAAACAAACATGATTGAAATTTTATTTGCATACTATTTTCAAACGTTCCTCTGTATAAATGTGTTACAATTTATACTTTTGAATTTCCCAGTCTATTGGTGCAATGTTACGTTTGATTTGACCTTTGTTTGCTTTTATATAAAGGCTCTGCGGTTTTAACCTTGTTCCTTCCTGGGAGGAGACTATTAACTTAACAATGGAAATGGCTTCTCTTTTGTTAGCCTGGAGCTTTGTCTGGACCACTTGCTGGGACAAGTACCAGCTACTGTGTGGCTATCTGCTAACCCGAGAGTAAAGGAAATGAGTTGATTGTGATTTTCGGTTCCCAGCCTAAAAATTTAGTTATTCATCTGAGTTGATTTTCTTACCAGGAACCCAGCAGCCAAAACAAAGCACTGAATTGAATCCTGCTGGTTGCTGGAATTTAGCAGTTGTGGAAGCCAGTTGATGGCAGCAGAAGAGGCAAGATAGGAGATAGAATGGCAGTGAGGAACGCTGGGATTAAAAAAGATCAAGGTATTTTTCAGTAAAATAAACTTGAGGCTTAATTTGCAAAACATTTTGGATTTCTGTCAAGGAACTGTTTTAAATAAAGGACACATAACTGAACTTTTATTCATAGAATTTTCGTTTCTTTCATTATTTTTAAAAAGAGGGACTTCAAGTATGTATTTTGGCTGAGTGCAAACAGCTGCATATTAAAAATTGATACTTGGCAGAAACAGAATGTCACTGTCTTCTAACTTCTGTGATAAAAATATACAGGAAACATAAACTTTTTAAAATTGTATAATTTTAAATTAAAGAATTCAGTATTCATTGGTATTCAGTAGTCATTGAATAATATATTCATGTTTTCAAAGCATGCTGTGTAGTGAATATATCATTTTTATTTTTCAATCAAAATATGAGTATTCAAAAATTGAGAGTTTGCTATTACATGCTTGAATATTTATTTCTCATCAATTTAGGCTGATCATTTGCTTCTGGGGTTATTGTTCTTTACATTTCTGATACTACATCTGACCAGCCAGGATTAATTAGTGTGTGCCATCAAAACGAACTCAAATTCAGTGGTTGTATTTACTTTTTAAAGATTTATTTTTATTATTTTTGACTTTGGAGGCCAGAGGTGGTGTATCCCCTGGAGTGGCAGTTACAGGATGTAAACCACCCAGCCTGTGTGCTAAGAATCAAACTCATGTCCTTTCTAAGAATAATGTATGCTCTCAACCACTGAGCCATCTCTCTAGCCCCCCCTCCCCACCACCACCGCAGCCACTGGATTTAAACAGCAAATATTTATGATTTGTGTGTACCACATATCTTCATGACATGTCAGGTTGCACATATGGAAGGAAGCATGACAATGACAATGGAGACTGTGATTTTGTCAGGCCCATAGTTCCAGATGAGGTTTAGGATTCATCAAGGTCAAGGAAAAGATGACTGGGGGCTCCAGCACTGGCAGTGAAATGCTGATAGCCCAGATAGGCAGTGTTTCTTCTACTCCTGCTTTATTTGTGCCGATGAGCGAGCCTAATCCTGTGTGTATCTACAAGCTGAGAACAAGCCAAGTAGGCTCTCATTTTCGCCTAAGGGGGAAGGAGGAGTAGCAGATAGAAACCGCCTGACCCTACCATCATGAGACACTCATTAATGCCCATGCTATTTTAAAGTGACAATTGTTAAAACATTCCTTCTGTTGAGTAGAAACTGACTAGCTCAAGATTCGACTTCAGAAGCAGCCCCACAAATGGGAGCTGTGATTACCAGGTGAAGAAAAGTATTTTCTGAACCTGTCTTAGGAGGAAGTCTTTTTCTTTTTTTTCTTTTCTTCTCTTCTCCTTTTGCTTCCACTTAGCTTTACAGTCAGTTGGGTAAAATCTGTCCTTCCACTTTGTTCTATAGATATGTTCTATAGATATGTTCTATAGATATGTTCTACAGTGGAACACTGGAATTGGCCTTCAAGAAGCCAGTGATCTTGGGCCTTCCGTTTTCATTTATTTTATTATATGTTGCACAGTATGGGCACCTTCTGGAGAAGGATGAAAGAATCTTCAGCAGCTATTAGAAATATGTGCACCATGAAAACACCTTTTCCTCAGGTTAGAGCAATCCAGTTGCAGTCTCTGTAGGTAGTTTTAATACCTTGACATATCTTTCATTTAAAGTGTATACTTTCGTTTTATTCATGATGACTTTTAATATGTAGTGGTTGTGATTCTATCTTGTTAAAGATATGACAAAAATACTTCTAAAATCTTTGGACATCATGTAATTTGTCTTTCCTGAGGCTGGCTTACTAATGTTCTGTTATGAGGGAAGTATACTTGCATTCTGATTAGTACCAAAGGGAGTGGACAAAATAAAAATATATGCTTATGATTCTTGTCACTCTTAGACTTTATTGAGTTTGCTATGTTATTGATAGCAATAGCATGACTTGCTTCTTCATGTATTTTCCACCCCATGTATGGGTCTTCAGATTGTTATGTTAATAGCTGCGTAAGAGCTCAAAAATCTCCCAGCAACCAAGTACAAGCAGAGCTGAGTTCATCAATGATTCATCATTTGTCCAACTTCAGCATGACTTGCAGTTGTTTCTAATCTATGATGTCCATATAAAGTAGCACAGTTAGTAATATTAGCCTTTCCATACACTGTAGAATACAATTAAAAATGTTTTAATAATATTTTGTAAAAGGGCTTAAATAGAATTCACAACTTCAGCAAATCACAGAAATTCTTCATCTTTATTTACTGAATAGAGACAGATGTCAGTCCAGCTGTTACTGCTTTCTATGCAATAATCTTTGCCTTATGACATTCATGCCTGGTGTAATCCATTACCTTGTTTGTGAGCTGGGCCTAGTGATAGGCTTTTAACAAGTAAGACATGGTAAAAATCATATGCTTTCACATCTTCAATTAGGAAAATTAATTAATTAAAAACAATGACTTCCATCTTGTTACACTTTCTCTGGATTTTCTCACTTGCTCC